AATGCTAATGATGTTTTTTGCTAATATCATTGATTCTGTGCCTTATCCCTCACTTGAAGTTGTTGTCATTTCCCTGTTCTGTTTTATATAATTAAAATAAAATAAAAAATAGATCAGATGCTTATTTGCTTGTTTAATGTTTTTTCCCCTCCTAATCCTTATTCATTTATGATTATTAGATAATGAAAATATTATAACCAACCTTAAACAGGATACTTGCCAACTTTAAACAGTAGTCGTTCTGTTGAAGTTCTATTATAGACAGTAAAGACCCCTAAGGCTATAAAAGACTATAAAAGAAAAGTACACACACACACACAGGAGAGATGCTGTTTGCAACATGCTGGATTGAATTCTTCTGAGAGCACTGGATGAATTTCAGTGATGACAACTATTTTTCCTGCCCTGTACAAATGCATAAAACTAAACATGTTAAAATGGTTCTCTTAATTTATCGCTGATAAATCAAAGGTTTGTCACCTACAGTGGTTGTTTGTAGAACTTAAATTCTCCCATCACTCAGCCTATTATGTTTATTATGAAAGACTGTTGTGTTGCTTTGTTTAATTTTCAAAACATTTTAACACCATAAAAATGTCTGTTTGACCAGAAAAAATGAATTATGAGAAATAACCGAACAATTTCTCTTCCAGTAAGCATTCAACATTGCTCTCACCTTCAGTACTAGTGACACAAGCACAAGACGCTTAGCATCTCGTTTCTACAATAAGTCTGTAAGAAGACTAACGCATTGCAGTAAGAAATATGTAGCGTTTTACCTGTCATTAGCATAAATGCCATCTTGTGGGTGAGTAACGCATTGCCACGTTTAACGCAAATGGCTACTAATTTCTGTGTGCCTTAGTTGTTGCCACAGTGAATTAAACCTTTTTGATTACTTTAAAAATGATTTGTGATCTGGTGTGTGATTTCTGATTTTTCTAGCAATAAACATTATTAAATGAAACGGACAATTAATGAAATCATGTATTAACAGTACATTAACAAACAAAACATCATCATCATTAAGAAAAAACATTAACATTATGAACTATTAATACAATTATATATTCCAGTCATTTTAAATATATATTTCTAAAATATATTTGACATAAAATATATATTTGACAAAATATCAATAAATATACAGTTGAATGCATTTTTGTATGTGTTGTAATGTTTGAAGTGAGCAGTTATCAGTCTCTGTATCTCAGCAGGTGTTGATTCTGTAAATATCCTGGAGTGCTTCCTCTCTCTGAAATCTTTAATGTCTCCTCTATGATGTGTGATTATTTTTGCCTCTGGCACTCTGTGTGTGTGTGTGTGTGTGTGTGTGTGTCTCTATATGGAGGAGGAGGAGTCCTTTTCAGCACTGACGTTCTTTTGATATATATGGTAAAAATTAGAAATGCCTCCTCTGATTTGTCACTGAAGTTGTTTGATGATTTCCTCTGTTCTGTCTAATAAGGTAATGATGAGCATGATTGGAAAGTTTTAGGGCTCTTCTCTTTAGGGGGCTCTTTAGAGGAGAAACTTCTAAGCTGATGAAATAGTGTGTGTCCTGCTGCATGAAGGAGATGATGAGGAGTCTGAAGATGATGTTTCTGCTAAAACTCGTCACCGCTGGTAGGTTTATACTTTCAGTAGATTTAAACCATCTTAATTGAACTGCTTATCTGCAATAAGATGCGGCACCTGACTGCTGTCTAATTGCCACGTTATTTATATTTTGTGCATTTTTAAAGTTATTTCTTAAAGTTTTATTTTCTTCTTTTTCCTCTGTCATTCTCTTCTGTTTTCCAGTTGTGCTTTCCTTCTTTCTCTCAGTCTGTCATACATCTGTTGCACAAAAAGACAGTGTGAATGTGAGGTTAGTCGGTGGTCACAGTCACTGTGCTGGTAGAGTGGAGGTTCTTCATAGAGGTCAGTGGGGAACAGTGTGTGATGAGGAATGGGATTTGGCTGATGCTGCAGTGGTGTGTAGAGAGCTGGACTGTGGAGAACCTGTAGATGCTCTGGGTGATGCTCATTTTGGACCAGGATCAGGACCAGTCTGGATGAGTTATGTTGTGTGTACTGGATCAGAATCTACACTGAAGAACTGTGGCTCAACAGGTTGGGGTAAAAGCAGCTGTGATCATTCTAAAGATGCTGGAGTCAGATGCTCAGGTAAACTGCTCCACACCAAACCATAATAATACATCCCCAAAAATATGGGGTCAGTAAAGTGATTTTATTTTATTTTAGTCTTTTATTTGAGTCTTGTGTGTGCAAGGCCTGAATTTATTGTTACAGTAAAAACGGTAATTATTTGAATTATTATTTTATTATTATTATTATTACAATTTAAAATATATTTTCTGTTTTATTATAATTTACAGTGTTTATAATTTATTATTATTATGATTTATTCCATGGCTGCAGTCTTCGTTGACACATGTTCCTTTTGAATTCATTCTAACCTCTTAAGACCCGGCAAAACATTTTAGGAAAATGTTTTAATTTTTTGATGTCATTACATTTGGAGCATTAAAAAAAAAAATATATATATATATATTTCATTCATAAGTTATGCTACGTCCTTGGTAGAGGACATCGGGACTCAATTTCTTAAAAAATAAATAAAAATACATGAATGAACATGCATAGGCAAAAACAATAGATTTTTTAAAATCACCAATACATTTTTAGTTTTTAGGATTTTTTTTTACCAAACTTTGTATAAAGATAATTCTCAACTATGTTATAACAGAATGATTTGATATACCATTTTTCTTCATGCAAAATGTGTGTAAAATGGCCACAAACAGGTTTTCTCATTATATATAATGTATCTATAAACTAAATCTAATTTGCATATTAATGTGTTTTTGTAATGTAATGAAAATAGAAGTGTAATATTGAGAGTAATAATTGACATGATTTTCATAATAAAATATAATATTTCATAGGAATATTGAAATATATTTTCTTTACGTATTCATTTGTTGTGTCTCCAAAAATGCGTAATAAACATGCTTTTAGTCCTGGTGTCCTCATATGAGGACATGCATGAAATCAACCTCCTGTTTTGTAACAGAAAGTCATATTTTGATTTGAAACCCCATAACATTTTCCTTTAACATTTTTCATAAGATGTTGATTTATAACACACAGTTTAAAAATGTGTCCGATTGAAATGACAATTACAAAATATTATCATATTTCCATAAGAGTGTCACTAAATTAATATCAGACATTTTTGAAGACCAAGGAGAGGGAGTGATCATAGTGAAACATCCAAACATTTAGTATCTCTGATAAGCCCTGAATGTGCTCTGTACATGACATCCAGACTAAAAACTGTGGCATGTATAGTCTCAGAGAAATTCACTAAAATATAATGTCCTCATATGAGGATGCAGGGTCTCAGGAGGCTAATATGTCAATCTTTTAATTTTTTTAAAGAGTCTAGTTGGATTTTAAAATACAAATATTAAATGTTTAGTGTTTTTGTTTCCTATAAATAATTTAAATGGTCTGTGTTCTTTCAGGCTTTTAAATTTTTTTTAATGTTGTTTATAGGTTTAAGATTCTAGTTGGTGGTTGTTAAAAAAATAGGCTAGTAGATGTATTACTTTTATACATTAAGTGTACAAAAGGGATTTTATTTTCCCCAGTAAAGTATTTAAATGGTCTGTGTTCTTTCAGATGTCAGGTTGGTTGGAGGTTCTCGCTGCGCTGGGAGGTTAGAGATGGTTCATGATCAGACGTGGATGTCAGTGTGTGACACTGCCTTTGACCAGCAGGATGCAGAGGTTGTGTGTAGAGAGCTGGACTGTGGGGCTCCTGTACAGGTGCTGGGAGCAGCTGCTTTTGGAAAAGGAGACGCTCAGATGTGGCCACAAGAGATTCAGTGCAGAGGAAATGAGTCTCAGATTCACCTCTGTCCAACATCACCATCACACAAACACAACTGTTCACATGAAAACAGTGTTGGACTGATGTGTGCAGGTTGGAACTAATTTACTCTTCAGATTTAAATCCCCAGATTGAAAATTTGATGTTAGCTAAATACCATTTTTCCCTCTCATGAAGTGATTCGTTCACATTATGAGACTGTCAATTTTTTTTGTTCTCTCTGTTCAATATACAGTAAGTGTGAATGTGAGGTTGGTTGGTGGTCATAGTCGCTGTGCTGGTACAGTGGAGGTTCTTCATAGAGGTCAGTGGGGAACAGTGTGTGATGAAGACTGGGATATGGCTGATGCTGCAGTGGTATGTAGAGAGCTGGACTGTGGAGAACCTGTAGATGCTCTGGGTGATGCTCATTTTGGACCAGGAACAGGACCGATCTGGATAAGTTATGTTGTGTGCACTGGATCAGAGTCTACACTAAAAAACTGTGGCACAACAGGATGGAGTAAAAGCGACTGTGATCATAATGAAGATGCTGGAGTCAGGTGCTCAGGTAAACTGCTCAAGTCCTCAACATAATAACATCACCAGAAATTGTGCCCCACCAACTCCATAAAAAGTTTGGAGGCATTTTTTTTCAGGATTCTTTGATGAACATAAAAAAAAACTTTTTTTTTTAACTGAAGTCTGTTGTAACATAAGTATCATTACTGTAATTTCTGATATATTTGCTGAAAAAAATCTGACCACAAACTTTTGAATAGTATACACAAAAATCACAAACTTATCTCACTCAAATATATGCTAACTAAATAAATAAATAAGAATATACCTACAGTATGCATGATATCTTTGTTTAACATTTACGTGTACTGTTTTTTTTTTCTTCTTTTTTTTCAGATATTCTGAATACAATACAAATATATAAAATGTGTAGTGTTTTCCATGTGAAATGTGATCTTAGGAATTTATAAAATATTGTTTTATACACCAAGGTTTTTTTTGTTTTTTATATAAATTCATTGTTTTTGCTTTCAGGAGTCAGGCTACTTGGAGGTTCTCGCTGCTCAGGGAGGTTAGAGATACTTCATGATCAGACGTGGATGTCAGTGTGTGATGCTGCCTTTGACCAGCAGGATGCAGAGGTTGTGTGTAGAGAGCTGGACTGTGGGGCTCCTGTACAGGTGCTGGGAGCAGCTGCTTTTGGCAAAGGAGATGCTCAGATGTGGACACAAGAGATTCAGTGCAGAGGAAATGAATCTCAGATTCACCTCTGTGCGGCATCACCATCAGACAAACACAGCTGTTCTCATGAATACAGTGTTGAACTGGTGTGTGCAGGTTGGAGCTAATTTCTTTTCTAGATTCAAATCCCCTGACTGAAAATTTAATGTTACCAAAATACCAAAATGTTTTTCCCTCTCGTAATATGATTAATTCATCAAATTTTTCGTCCCGATTTTCTATTTTCCTCACTGTCTCTTCATTTCTCATTCTCTCTGTTCAATATTCAGACCGTGTGAATGTGAGGTTGGTTAATGGTCACAGTCGCTGTGCTGGTAGAGTGGAGGTTCATCATAGAGGTCAGTGGGGAACAGTGTGTGATGATTACTGGGATTTGGCTGATGCTGCAGTGGTGTGTAGAGAGCTGGACTGTGGAGAACCTGTAGATGCTCTGAGTGATGCTCATTTTGGACCAGGAACAGGACCGATCTGGATAAGTTATGTTGTGTGCACTGGATCAGAGTCTACACTAAAAAACTGTGGCACAACAGGATGGAGTAAAAGCGACTGTGATCATAATGAAGATGCTGGAGTCAGGTGCTCAGGTAAACTGCTCCATACAGTACCTCACCTTAATCACTAAAATGGTCTCTACTAAAATAATTTAGTTTGATATACACACAAACACAAAATATTTGGCAAAAAATTTGTCTCTGTTACTTGAATAAACCCACTTAGTTTCTCTATAGTTCTCAACATCGGTCTTGAGGATCCACTGCTCTGTACATTATGTGTGTCTCTCTTATCTGTCACACTCACTTCAGTTGATGAAGTGGCTCAATCAGCTGATGATCTGAATTAGATGCATTAAATAAGGAAGAAATGTAAAATGTGCAGAGCAGTGGGTCCGTGGTCCTGGACCAGTGTTGAGAACCAATGCTCTACACCTTCAAGAAACACCTACAGGCAAGAAGGCTGAACACTGTTTTTTTTTTTTTTTTTTAACTGTATGTACTTGCTCAATAATTGATTTTTGTATTTAAAAAATCATATTGTGGCTTTTGAAAAAAACATTTCTCAATATTGTTTATAGGTTTCAGATTCGAGTTGGTGGTTGTTAAAAAACAAATAGGCTAGTGGATATATTACTTTTATCCATCAAGTGTACAAAAGGGATTTTATTTTCCCCAGTAAACTATTTAAATGATGTGTTCTTTCAGAAGTCAGACTGGTTGGAGGTTCTCGCTGCGCTGGGAGGTTAGAGATGCTTCATGATCAGACGTGGATGTCAGTGTGTGATGCTGCCTTTGACCAGCAGGATGCAGAGGTTGTGTGTAGAGAGCTGGACTGTGGGGCTCCTGTACAGGTGCTGGGAGCAGCTGCTTTTGGCAAAGGAGACGCTCAGATGTGGACACAAGAGATTCAGTGCAGAGGAAATGAGTCTCAGATTCATCTCTGTCCAACATCACCATCACATGAAAACAACTGTTCACAGGACAACAATGTTAGACTGGTGTGTGCTGGTAAGAGCTGGATTAAGAGAGAGATACACTTATGTATGTATACAACACAGTGGTCCATTATTTTAAATATGACAAATTTGCACGCTCTCTCTCTCTTTCTTTCTCTCTCTCTCTGTTACCCTTTTTCAGATGCAATGAATGTGCGGGTTGTTGGTGGTAACAGTCGCTGTGCTGGTAGAGTGGAGGTTCTTCACAGAGGTCAGTGGGGAACAGTGTGTGATGATAGCTGGGATATGGCTGATGCTGCAGTGGTGTGTAGAGAGCTGGACTGTGGAGAACCTGTAGATGCTCTGGGTGATGCTCATTTTGGACCAGGATCAGGACCAATCTGGATGAGTGCTTTATGTTCTGGAATGGAATCTACATTGAAGAACTGTAGATCAGCAGGATGGGGTGTGCACACATGTACTCATAATGGTGATGCTGGAGTCATCTGCTCAGGTGAATGACATAGTATACCGTTTACTGTGATAAATGACATAAAATGACACAAAACTGTAAATCTGATGTGATATTCATGTTGTATTTTTCATATGCTCAACAGATACACTCCAAATAACTGTAATAATGTGATTTGTCTCTTTTGTCTCATTTATTAAATATAATATAAACAGACCATAAACATTCCAGACTTATTGATGGACCTCACCTGTGCTCTGGGAGATTAGAGGTGATTCATGTGAATGCCTGGAATTCAGTGTGTGATGCTGCCTTTGACCAGCAGGATGCAGAGGTTGTGTGTAGAGAGCTGGACTGTGGGGCTCCTGTACAGGTGCTGGGAGCAGCTGCTTTTGGAAAAGTAGACGCTCAGATGTGGACACAAGAGATTCAGTGCAGAGGAAATGAATCTTATATTTCTTTCTGTCCAACATCATCTCTCAAACACAACTGTACCCATGAGAATGCCATTGGGCTGTTATGTTCTGGTAATGGAGCTGTAGTTTTTCACTTACTGTGATAATCAGAAAGTTTTTTCTTTTTCTTTTTTGTAAAAAAAAAAAAAAAACTTTATTTTTTAAAATAAACATTGTTTTTCATTAAGGTTATACCGATCTCAGACTGGTAAATGGACCAGACTCCTGTTCTGGTCGAGCTGAACATCAGTATCTCAGTAAATGGGCCACAGTGTGTGATGCATGCTGGGATATGAGAGCTGCCAGTGTCCTCTGTAGACAGCTGAATTGTGGGATTGCTGTGTCTGTTGTGGGATCAGACTGGTTTGGAGAGGGAAGTGGTGAAATCTGGGCTGATGTGTTTGATTGTGACGGGAATGAAACAAAACTCTCAGAATGTTCCATCTCTTCATGGAGTCGAGCTGAATGTTCTCATAAACAAGATGTTGGAGTAATCTGCTCTGGTAAACTTATTTAATCAGGACTAATAACATTATGCTAATTGTGCTCAGATGTGGACACAAGAGATTCAGTGCAGAGGAAATGAATCTTATATTTCTTTCTGTCCAACATCATCTCTCAAACACAACTGTACCCATGAGAATGCCATTGGGCTGTTATGTTCTGGTAATGGAGCTGTAGTTTTTCCCTTACTGTGATAATCAGAAAGTTTTTTCTTTTTCTTTTTTGTAAAAAAAAAAAAAAACTTTATTTTTTAAAATAAACATTGTTTTTCATTAAGGTTATACCGATCTCAGACTGGTAAATGGACCAGACTCCTGTTCTGGTCGAGCTGAACATCAGTATCTCAGTAAATGGGCCACAGTGTGTGATGCATGCTGGGATATGAGAGCTGCCAGTGTCCTCTGTAGACAGCTGAATTGTGGGATTGCTGTGTCTGTTGTGGGATCAGACTGGTTTGGAGAGGGAAGTGGTGAAATCTGGGCTGATGTGTTTGATTGTGACGGGAATGAAACAAAACTCTCAGAATGTTCCATCTCTTCATGGAGTCGAGCTGAATGTTCTCATAAACAAGATGTTGGAGTAATCTGCTCTGGTAAACTTATTTAATCAGGACTAATAACATTATGCTAATTGTGAAAAAAAACTCTCTAGGCTTATATTAGGCATAAACTATTTAATTGTTCTTTAACTACAATACTTTGTTCTACCAGTTCAAAAACACATAAAATCTTCTCTTCAGATTCATCTCTGGTTCTTCATGATGGTCTGGTGCGGTTGTCTGGAGAGAGACAGTGTGAGGGGGAGGTGGAAGTTTTCGTCCATCAGGTCTGGAGGAGAGTTCTGCTGGACTTCTGGAGTCTCACAGAATCCTCTGTGGTCTGCAGACAGCTGGGCTGTGGCTCTGTGCTGAACTTCTACGGCTCCTCTTCATCCAGTCCTGAACACAGTCATGAGTGTGTGACGGGCTTCCAGTGCTCTGGGAGTGAAGCTCATCTGGGGAACTGCAGCTCTCCACAAACTCTCAACTGCAGCTCCACACAACAGCTGTCAATCACCTGCCTTGGTGAGAACAACAACATCTGGGCAGATTCTTCAGTTGTTCGTGATCAATAATGTGTTTTTCTTTCTCTGAATATCAGGTCGCGGGTCCATCAGGCTGGTGGGTTCTGGGGGAGACTGTGCAGGGAGGCTGGAGGTTTTTCACAGCGGCTCATGGGGGACAGTGTGTGATGACTCCTGGGATATTAAAGATGCCCATGTGGTGTGCAGACAGCTGCAGTGTGGAGTGGCCCTCAGTAACCAGCAGGTACCAGCCTGGTTTGGTCCTGGTTCTGGACCCATATGGCTGGATGAGGTGGAGTGTGAGGGGAATGAGACGTCCCTGTGGAGCTGCTCTTCTCCAGGCTGGGGAAAACATGACTGTCAGCACAAGGAGGATGTAGGAGTCGTGTGCTCGGGTAAACAGTGAACAATCATTTAAATAATTACATTTTAATAACCCATAAATTGCTCTCATTATTAGCAATATCCATTGTGTTTGCATTATACACGTTAAGAACAGGGTTGAAAAATGTTCTTATGCATTTTTAAAAGAATTCCGAAAGTGATTCCATTGAGGGTTCATTCCATTGAGAGTGTAGATGGAATACAGTACTAAAACACTGCTGCTGACTATTCATTACGGAACACACATGAAAATGTTTATCCGATTCTCAAATTAATGACTCTAATGAGTCGGTTCTTTTTAGTTAATAAAAGACAAGCATTTTACAATTGCAAATTGTAACATTTAGATCTATGTATTATTGAAATGGTTATATCGTCTGGCAGTGAAATACAATTTATTTTTCCCAAAAAATATTTATTTCTTAAAAGCTCTAAAATAACGTTTTTTTTTTAATTAATTAATTCCCTTTCCTTTCTATCTAGAGTTTAAAGAGATCAGGTTAACTGAGGGCTGTGAAGGGAATGTGGAGGTTTTCTACAATGGATCCTGGGGCAATGTTTGTTACAACCAGATGGACAGAGAGACAGTGAGTCTGATCTGTCAAGAGCTGAACTGTGGAAGATCTGGCAGTGAACCCAGATATTCAGTGGGACTGAAGTCTCATAACTGGCTGGATTATTTTAAATGTCGACGACATGATTCCACTTTATGGCAGTGTCCATCTTCATCCTGGGGACAGAATGACTGTGATAACGAGGTGGCCAAGATCACTTGCTCTGGTAAATTTTTAAACCATTTAAACTCAGTGATATTTCTGTAAATATAAAGGTTACATGAAATTACATGAAACGCTGAATAAATTATTTAAAATTAGTTTCATGAAACTGTGATCGTTATAATCTCAGCAGAGGAAAGTCAAGAGTCTCTGCGGAGTCGTCTGACATGTTCAGCATCTCCTTACCAGAGAAAGTGTTCAAGTAAGTTTATTTGACAACAAATTGGTTTAAATATTTATTACTTTTTCCACATATAAAACTGACAAGCTGACATATCTTTGAAAATAATAGTAATGAGTTTGTACTGTGCCAGCCCTTGACCAAAGACTATAGAATACCTTTGACTCTGTAAACCACAAAGAATAAGCTTCACCAATCAGAACAATTGGAGGTGCTTTCTGCCAGTCATTTGTTTTGCATTTTTAGGTTGCTAACATTGATTACAGCATATTTACTATATGTGCAGTTAAACTTCCTTCTCTGTGTGTTTTTTGTTGTAAATACAATACATTACAATATTTATTTATAAAGCACATTTAGAAACAACCAAGGTTGACCAAAGTGCTGTACAGAATAGAGTAAAAAAAACTACCAAATTTAAAACACAACAATACTAAAACAATAATCATACTGGTGTTGACAGGCCGAATTATTGAGGGCTTTATAAACAAATAATAGAATTTTAAAATAAGTTCTGTATTTGATAGGGTACCAGTGCAATGTAGATAAAATAGGAGTTGTTGGCTCATTCTTGCGGGTCCCAGAGAGAAGTCTAGCAGCTGACTTTTCCGCTAGCTGTAGGTGGGAGGAGGAAGGCTGAAACACTGTAATAAAATTAATTACAATATTCTAAAGTTGTTACAAAAGTATGAATCACCATTTTGAAGTTACTCTGTGATAAAAAAGGGTTTCATTTTAGAAAGTTGACAAAGATGAAAAAAGCATGATTTTACAACAGTACTGATCTGTTTGTCAAAATCTAAGTTATGATCAAACAGAACTCAACGTTGAACGTGACTGACTGAATGGGAACGTCTAGGTTACTTGTGTAACCCTCGTTCCCTGAAGGAGGGAACGGAGACGTTACGTTCCGTTGCCACAGTTGCTGTACCACCGCTGTACGGCCGGGGCACGTAGTCTCGGCTCCTCAGCGAAAAACTGATGTGCGTTTGCACGCGCTCTCCTTTTATACCCGCGCTGCGGGGCGGGGTGCGCGTGGCGAAACACGCACGCCAACTGTCATTGGCTTGTTTAGTTAACACTCGAAGGGGATTGGGCTCTCGGGCGAGATCCCAATTCGTCAGTCACTGACGTAACGTCTCCGTTCCCTCCTTCAGGGAACGAGGGTTACACAAGTAACCTACACGATTTCTAGTGCACTGACTTTCATATGGGGCCAGATGGTCATGGTCAACATCTAGCACACAATTTTCCTTAGTCCCAAAAATAATTATTTTTATTTTATTTTCATTTAAATTTAGAAAATTATTTTATAGCCAAAGCTTAATTTCTTCGAAACAGGCCAAAAGGGGTTGAAAAACATTTTTATGCTTTAAGGGAAAATATTTATTTTACATTATTTAATATAGTATCATCAGCATATAGATGAAAGGAAACTCTATATTTGTTAAAAGTGGAAGGCATAATTAGCATATACAGGGTAATCAACACTGGCCCAAGGATTGATGCAAAGTGTACACTGAATTAGACAGATGTGATCTTAATGTTGTGATCTTAACAAAAAATACGTCCCAAAGTTGTCACAGAGAGAAGTAGAGGGCTCTAGAATAGAATGCACAGAGGGATTTAAAACAGTAAATAATACAGAAAAGAACTTGAGGTTTATGACAATGCTGTGCTGAAGCTGGTCCGTGCTGTTTGATATGTGTTTTAGATCATTTTCCTCTCAGACTGAGTGGAGGGGAGGGCCGGTGCTCTGGGAGGCTGGAGGTGTATCATAACGCTGTGTGGGGCTCAGTCTGTGATGATCAGTGGGACATCAGCGATGCTCAGGTGGTCTGCAGGCAGCTGGGTTGTGGAGCAGCACTGAGGGCTGATGGGAATTCAGTCTTTGGTGCTGGTGAAGGTGTTGTGTGGATGAACAAAGTCGAGTGCAAAGGGAATGAGATTCACCTGTGGGACTGTCCTCTCTCCCTGAAAAACCACACTGACTGCTCCCACAAAGAGCACGCTGGACTCATCTGTGCAGGTCACACTAAAATACTGAGGAGTAATATTCAATTCATCATTTTAAAGTGTAAAACATTTGTATATTCAAGACATTTGCATGAACTGATTATAATTTCAGTATTTTTTACATTGCCAGATTTGTCAGTGTCCACTACTCCTGCCACAACAACATCAGCTTCTCCTCCAGTTTCTCCTCCTTCCTCTCAGACTGAGTGGAGGGGAGGGCCGGTGCTCTGGGAGGCTGGAGGTGTATCATAACGCTGTGTGGGGCTCAGTCTGTGATGATCAGTGGGACATCAGCGATGCTCAGGTGGTCTGCAGGCAGCTGGGTTGTGGAGCAGCACTGAGGGCTGATGGGAATTCAGTCTTTGGTGCTGGTGAAGGTGTTGTGTGGATGAACAAAGTCGAGTGCAAAGGGAATGAGATTCACCTGTGGGACTGTCCTCTCTCCCTGAAAAACCACACTGACTGCTCCCACAAAGAGCACGCTGGACTCATCTGTGCAGGTCACACTAAAATACTGAGGAGTAATATTCAATTCATCATTTTAAAGTGTAAAACATTTGTATATTCAAGACATTTGCATGAACTGATTATAATTTCAGTATTTTTTACATTGCCAGATTTGTCAGTGTCCACTCCCCCTGCCACAACAACATCAGCTTCTCCTCCAGTGCACTCAACATCAGTCTCTCCTCCACAATCTCCTCCAGCAGCGTCTCTCTCCATCCCCCCAGTGCTTGTGATTGTACTGGGAGTTGTGCTCTTACTGCTCTTAGTGCCACTGCTTATACTGATTCAGCAGAACAGAATGATGAGGAGAGGTAGGAGAGATCCAGAGACTGTCATATTGTGTCTTATTCAGTGTGATCAGTCATGTGTTGTGAACTGACAGCAGGTTTGTCTTTCTACACTCACAGCTCTCTCTGACTGGTACACAGGACTTCACAGGACTCAGTCTCAGACTGAGCCAGTATATGAGGAAATTTATCACAGACACAATCAATTTACTCATAGAGGTGAGGCATCATGAGAAAACGTAATTGTAAGTGCGTACTGATTCAAAGGGTCCCTACAGTGTTTACTTCTCCTCGATTACTAGCACATTACTAATTACCCTTACAATGTTAAAGTCAGCTTGGCACCTCATGCTTATAGAAGGATCAAGTTGTTGATCTTAACTTTCAAAACAGCTTGCAAAGTTGAATCCTACAAAGAGGACATTAAAAAAAACATGTTTCTGATTGTTCTGCCTTGCTTTAATAGGGAGTCTCATCTCTGAAGACACTGATGAGCTTCTCTCAGGTTAGAAAGGTGATTTACAAACTCAGTAAATAAATGTAAACTGTGAAAACTGTAAACTGTGTCTTATATTTATATATATATATATATATATATATATATATATATATATATATATATATATATATAT